GGTGCCTGTGGCATTCGAGCTAGACTCCACCGAGCAACCTCAAACTCCTGGGCTCAAAGCAATCCTCCTGCCTCAGCCTCCCGAGTAGCGTGGGACTACAGGCATGCGCCATCATGCCCAGCTAATTTTTTGTATATATTTTTAGTTGGCCAATTAATTCTTTCCATTTATAGTAGAGACGGGGTCTCACTCTTGCTCAGGCTGGTTTCAAACTCCTGAACTCAAGCAATCCGCCCGCCTCGGCCTCCCAGAGTGCTAGGATTACAGGCATGAGCCACCGCGCCGGGCCTAGTGGTACCTTTAATGACTAACCCCTGTGGCTTCTGTCAGTTTTTGCTGCTGTTATTGCTGTTAAAGTGACAGAAGCGTTTAACCAGTCGTGAGAAACACAGAGCGTCTCCTCGGCCTACACTGGCTCTTCCTTCTAATCAGAGCATCTTGTTGGGTGGTAGGACAGAGGAGCGTGGTGGGCATCAGGAGTCCACGTGTGCTCCAGGGTCTGGGGAGCATGTGAAACATCACCCAACACAGAAACACCCATCTGCCCTAAGCCAGAAAAATGACCTAAAGTGAAAGACCTGTTCGCTAGACACAAACACAGAGCTGTATCACAATTACTTCAGGAAATCAAATGTGTTTACCTTAAATTCTGTGACTGATTTATATTCGTTAGCTACAATTTTGTCTTTCATTGTGCCAAAATCCATTGGATGTTTTATTATCATCGAATACCCAGGAGCAATTGCATCGGTGACAGGAAAAGCAAAAAATCCATGAGGATCTTTCCTGAAAGTAAAGACACTTTCACTTAAAACAAAAACATTCTAAAATCTAGATTTCTAGAAGATACAAAATTCCTTACAATCCAAAAATGAGAAATAAGTGAACAAATTTTATTTCTTAAATACCAAAAATATTAAAGGTATGACTTTTAAGATTGTGACAGGTACTTTGGATACAACAAAAAGTTCCCCACAAGTGTTCTGGGTCCTGTCACTGCCCCAGCTCCTGCCCGTACAGGCGCCATGACTTTGGAATGGACAGAGCCCGGGACTCTACCAGCCCTCCCTGCTCTGCTCCCAGCCTCACGGCCCAGTGCTCACTCTGCACAGTGTACGCCCACCTGCCTCTGAACAGGCCTTTGCCTAGTGAAGGTGAAGGGTCTGGTTCAGCTGACGGGGCTGGGGTGTGGGTAACACCTCAGAAAATAAAGGTGACGTTGCACGTGCCCCAAACACAAGCTCTTTAGAAATGCCCAAGGTCTCACCTCTGAAGCTGGCGCAGGAAGTGCTCCAGCAGTTGCTGAATAGGCGTGCTCTCGTTTTCAGCTGGCAATTTGAAAAGTAAAACAAAAAAATGAGTAGAAACATTTTGTTATCTGTTAGAAAAACCCCATTTCTCATTATTTGTTAGATGTTTCATGGCATTTTAAGTTCAATCAAGGGTGAGGATGCGATGATAAATCAGACTTGGCCTTGGCTCCCGTGAACCTCAGCTGGGAGGGAAGGACTCCTGCGGCATCAGCCTCAAAGCCTCTTACAGTGCCCAGAGCCCTTCAGGAAACAATACGAGATTATCAGTATTCGATCTGTTTTCAGCTCAGACCACTACTCTACACAAGGCACGGAGGAGAAAACAAAGGCTTTGGACACAGAGGTTGATCCTGAATTCACTGCTTGTCATTGCACTTGCAATCCCTCAACTTCTGGTTATGTTATGTTTATGGTCCTCACCTGGAAAATGGTGACGCACGTGCACATGCACACAGGTTCTTGTGAGGACTACAGCTGTTAACTACATCCCCGGGCCCATAGTAGGCCTCAAAGGGTAGGTTTCTAACAGTGACACTCTTGACAGTGACCCAGGTATGTACAAGAAGCATCATCACATCATTAGCTCTGCAGGTACTCTGGGGGAGTCATCCATGTAGAGCCTCAACAGGCGCTTAGGCTAACGACTGCACTAACTTTGCAGACAGGGCCACTTATTTGCTTATTTCATGCCCAGCCTTCTTTATTCACCAGTGTGCCAGCAGGAGCCCCGAGTGCTACCATTTACCGAGCAGACTAGTGTGGGGCAGAGGTGCTGCAAGGAAACAGCAGCCCCTCCCCATGATGACTGTACTGATATCCCTGCTCCCCCGCACAATGGACATGGTCAAACCCAAATTCAAGAAAAGAAATGCCTGAAGAGTAAAAAGACCATAGCCTCAGAGGGTCACGAGCATTCCAGATCTCTCCTTTGGTGGATGGAGCCAGCATAGTCTCTGATGGCCTCCTCCAATCTCTGATGTCCCATATCCCAACTGCCTCAGTTTTCCTAGTCTGGGAACCACCATATGCACAATTCATTGGGAAGAGACCCCCCCCTGTTTAAGTACAAATGCCCCACTACCTGTCAGTTGTGTGCATGAAAACAGCGTCAGGTGGGAATTCTCACCAAACTCCATCCCTGACAACGGTGTCCATGGCAGAAAGGTCACTGAAGGCCCCCAACTTTCTTCTTCCCCAGCCTATGGCCACTTTAAGCAATTTCAGACCCACCATTGGGGCCTTTAGGTTGCTTCTTCCTAGTGGGAACTGTGTGCATTTTGTTGACATATGTATATCTTACGAGTCTCACTATCATGGAGCTACTTTTCTGATGCTGCTCTATTTTGGGTAGTAAGAGCAGATAAAGCCAAATTTTTAGACCCAGTGTTGGCAAAACTTTTCTGTAAAGGCCAAATAAAAAATAGTCTAAGGCTGGTGCTTTCTTGAGGATGAGGTGGATAATCGCTTGAGCCCAGAGTTTGAAACCAGCCTTGGCAACATAGTGAGACCCCATCTCAAAAAATAACTTAAAAATCAGCTAAATGTGGTGATGTACACCTGCAATCCTAGCTACTTGGGAGGCTGAGGCAGGAGAATCACTTGAGTCCTAGGAGTTTGAGGCTGCAATGAGCTATGATCACACCATTGCACTCCAGCCGGGTGACAGAGTAAGATCCTGTCTCTAAACAAAAACATAAAAAACACTTTAGGCTCTATAGGCCACATATGGAAGGCCTCATGGTACAGGTCTTCTGTCTCCTTTTGGAAGTCTTTAAAAATGTATGAACCATTCTTACTTAGCTCATGGGTTAAAATAACAAAACAAAACTTAAGATGATCACGAGTGGTACCTGGACAAGCCCTGCTCAAACTCTAGACGTTCAAATATGTTGGCAGGAACCCTATGTCCAGGGACACCTGGCATGTGGCCCTGGCAAAGAAAAACGCCAGTTCTCTTCCTTCCCACACTTCTCCCCACAGCAAGAGGTTGTGGTGCTGACCCTCAGTTTACAACGGGGAGCTCTGAACACCGGGAGAGTCTCTGACTGGGCAGAGCCTTGCCTGGCTGTGTCCGGCACGCTCGCACTGGCCGATCCGGGGGTGGCTCCACCTCCACCTTCCTCCCAGGGTCAAAGTCGTCGGCCTCACCCTCCGTGTCGCAGTGCTCCTTCTCTCGTTTCCGCTTCTTCTCCTCCTGGGAGGTAGAGCCAAAGGAGTGAGAGCAGCCGGCATGGTGGGGACCTCACCCCAGGCTGGGGACAGAAGAGACTAAACACACTTCCCAACCACCTCCTTAGTTTCCAGGGAAAATAAGAAGCCACGAAAGAAAAGTCCTCCCTCGGAGACCCTCCTTACCCACAATTTCCTCCCTCATAAAGATGCCCCAAGAGGGGTCAGCTGAGGTGCTTCCTGCTCCACAGGCCATGCAGACAGGCTGAGCCCCGACTGTGCAACAGCCGAGCGGCCACTACCCACCGGCTCTGCCTCACCTTTCGCTTCCTCCTTTCCTCATCACCAAGATGCTTCTCCTTCTCTGACTTCTTCTTTTTCTTCTTCTTCTTCTCTTTGTGCCTCTCTCGCTCATGATCTGACCTGTCGTCATAGTAGCTGGAGTCGTGGCCAGACCCTGAGAGCTCAGTCACCTCACTTCCTCCGACCTTCAGGACCAGCTTCAGTGGCTTCTCCAGGGGCTTGTCTGCATAGTCTGCAGAGACACGGATTGTGAGCTTCACCATGTGCTTAGGGGCAAGCTCCTGCCACCGGGGTGGGAAGGGCTGGTCCGGTGTATGGGCATCACCAGGAGAACAGCAAGGTCCGAGAGGGTGATGTGCCAGCCTCGTGAAGATGTACAGCAGAGGACTACCAAGGTCCTCTGGGAAAGATAGAGAGGCAAGCCCACAGTGGCATGGGTTACGCCCTCCCTTCCTCCCCACTCCTTCCAAAGTGAGCATCATCAGGTCCTTCAAACTACTTGAGCCTGGCTAGGGGAGGCCGTGTGGGACACTGTACACATCACTGGGTGAGGGAAAGGAACAAGACTGGACCTAGGACCCAGGAGCCTGATCTCCCATCCCCAAGACTCCCAGGCCTGCTATCCACCCCTGACACAGACAAACTACCTGCTACAGATGCAAGGCAGAAAAAGAGAAAAGACAGGTTGAACTTCTCCCCGAGCTGGGCGGGAAAGCCAGCAGAGATGCTTTGCTCTTTCCTCCAGAGCGGGAAAAGTCGCCTGTAGTAGTTAAGCCTGGAACCCAATCCTGGATGCCAGGGCAGTACATCCCCCGCCCTTCCTGCCAACCCCAGCCCCGCCTGCCAACCCCAGCCGGGGCTCCAACCCCGCTACAGGACCCAGGACCCTGGGATGCAGGACCCCATCCCTACCTCCAGGACCCCATCGCTGGGACCCCGCCCCCACCTCCGGACCCCGCCCCCACATCCAGGACCCCGTCCCTGGCCCGCCCCCACCTCAGGACCCCGCCCCTAGAGCCCCGTCCCCACCTCCAGAACCCCCCCACGTCCCTGGGACCCCGCCCGCCTGTCCGGCCCCCTCCCTCGCCCGCCGCGCCTCAGGAAGCGCCGCGGCCGCCTCACCCTCGTAGGATGAGCGCCACTCGGTCTTGTGCTTCTTGTGCTTCTTGCCCATGGCGGCACCGGCGGCGGGCGTGGGGCGGGGGCCGGGAGCCCCCCGAGGCCGCCCGCAGCCGCGGCGAGCCCGGCCGGAGCGTGGCTGCCGCCGCCCCCCGCCCTAGCTGAGCTGCCGCACTTGTGCGCCGAAGTCGCTGAGCCCGCTGGGCAGCGCCGGAAGCAAGCTGAGGCGGCACCGGGACCGGAAGTGGTCCGGCTAGCGCCGAGCACTTCCGGGTCACGGGGCGGTGCGCCGAGCGCGGCAGATTCGAAGCGCGGGCGGGGCCGGCGGCGGTGGCGGCGGTGGCTGCGAGAAGCGCTAGGCGGCAGCGGCTACGCTGCGGGGGAGCTCCCGGCGGCGCCATGGACGAGGCCGTGGGCGACCTGAAGCAGGCGCTGCCCTGCGTGGCCGAGGCGCCGGCAGTACACGTGGAGGTGCACCAGCGCGGCGGCAGGTGAGCCGGCCGGCCCGGGCCGACCCCGACTGACCCGGCCAGTGCAGCCGGACCCGGTCGGAAGTGACCCCGACTGACCCGGCCCGACACGCACTGACCCGCCTGAAGTCCCTCCTGAGGAGGCCCCACCCGGCCGGGCTGACCTGAGCACACAGACCTGTACCTACCCCGCCAGGGCCTTACCCCGCAGGACCCCGGGACTGGGACACTGACCTGAGTCCGGCCTGAGGCAGAATTGGGGCGATGGGACAGCGCAGTTATGGTACATCGGAGGGCTCAAACTAGGCTGAAGTAAATCCTGGGCTGAAAGTTGAGTGAGATGTTAAAACTTTGAGCCAGAGTTTCTCAGACCCTTTCATTTTCCCTGGGTCCCCACGGATTTGGCGATTCACAGCAAATCCCACTCATTTGTGACTTCGAGCCAGGTCGTGGTATGGCTCCTGTGGGTCCCGTGGGCTGTACCCCTACCCCAGCCCACAGACACCTATATAGCTGCCTCAGATTCTCAGAGACACCTACACAGGATGCCACCGCAGCCTGGAGACGCCCGTGTACAACTGTACCTGGGCCCAGAGACATACAGGCATAGCCACACAGGAGCTGACAAACACCCCCGCACAACCACACTGTGCACTGCGGCTGCTGTATTGGAGGGTGCGGGAAGGATTGCAGAGGGACAGCGAATCGCCTGCCTGGCTCTGCGGAGCCAGTCCAGGAGGGCTCCGAGGGAGGCAGCCGTTGAGTTAGAACCTAAAACGTGACTAGTGGATCAGCTCAGCGAGCTGGGGCAGCAGTAAGGAGGCACGACGCTGTGCAGGTGACATTGGAGGAAGCTGAGTATCAGGACGGCAGCGAGGTGGGCTGAGGGAAGCCCTGGTTGCCAGGCTCTGAGTTTCAGGTTTTAGAGGCATGTTCCGATGCTAGCTCCAGGCCTGACCCCACAGCTGTGGAGTTTCTTCCTTCATTAATAGTAGCAATAGCCAACATTTATCAGATGTTGACTGTGCCAGGTGTCACCCTGAACCCCTTGGATATGTTGCCTGATCTAGTCTCTGCAGCAGCCCAACGTAGCAGGAGATCTCACTGATAACCCCCTTTCCACCTGGGAGCCCAGGCATGGGCCGCACATTTGGTGGAGGGACCTGAGCAAGGTTGGCATGGATCTGACCACAGGCCAGCTCCACCTGTCCTCCCAGCCACTGCGCATTCTTGGGTGCGGTCTGAGTTTTTGAAAAACATTTTTAAAATCTTGCATTTTAACTGAGATTTTATGCATTTTTTATTGGTTTTTCAGCACTGCAAAAAGAGAAGACATAAAGCTGAATGTGAGGAAGCTGCTCAATAGACACAATATTGTGTTTGGTGATTACACGTGGACTGAGTTCGATGAACCTTTTCTGACAAGAAACGTGCAGTCTGTGTCTATCGTTGACACAGAATTAAAGGTTAAAGACCCACAGGTAAGTTACTAGTGGGGCCAAGTAACAGTTAACCCTTTGTTGGAATCAAAGTCAGGGTCATGGATATATTTTGCTGTTTGCTGTCAGGATAGCAGATTGCCAGACACTGGCTCACGTGTGTGTTAGTTTGGGAGACTACACAAGCTCTGTCAGGAGCCAGGCCCCTGTTGTAGGGATATGGACCGCTGCACCACCTCTCTGTATAGTAGCAGGACAGACTGGAACCAAGGAACTAGGATGCAGTGCTGTAGAACAGTAGGCTGCGCTGAGGAGGCTGTGTACCTTGTCTCATTCTTTTGCTCAACAAATACTCATGAAGTGCTCAGCATGTGACCTTAGGAGGTGGGGGCATGGGGGCTGCAGAGGTGTGGAGACAGACTTGCCTGGTAGAAGTTCCTCATCTTGTTCCGCTTTCTCTCTGCCTCACCCACCATCTTACTGAGTTCACGTGTGGGAGTTTGGAACTTTGTGTGAGAGAACGGATGTCCTCTGCAATTCTAGCACTTGTAAAACAACCACCTGAAGGCCTCACACCTGTAATCCCAGCACTTTGGGGGGCTAAGGAGGATCACATGAGGCCAGTTCAAGACCAGCCTGGGCAACATAGCAAGACCCTATCTGTACACAAAAAAAAGTTAAGAAAAAAGAAAAACAATGTATAACGTATTTTAAGGAAAATACATCACTTAGAACTGTGCAATTCTTGTCTTATAAAGAACCAAATTTGCAGGATAAGCTTGATACTAAATTGTGCTCATGAGGTGGACTTCCACATTTGTATACTGGGACTTGTGTTTGCAGCACGTCTGAGCCTTATCCACACTGAGGGCTGATGCCATCGTCATGGCTCTGGCCAGTCTCGGGAAGACCTTCCTAATGGTCTGGTGGAAGGACAGATGGGCACAGCCTAGCTGGAGGAGTTGGGGCTGCCAGGGAAAGCTTTGATGTTCCCTCTTTGACTACACATTCACTGTAGGAGTTTTAACAGACAGTTATGCGGTTTTGTAGATACGTATGAACAAATGTTTATTACATGTTAATAAGTCAAGGAATTGAAATATTCCGTTGCCAATCAGATTAGTTAATGAACATAGGAATTTCAGACATCTGCACCAAAAATGAATAGCCATTAAAAACAATGAAATAGATTTCTATCTACTCCTGTTAAAACGTCTGTAAGCTGAAATAAATGTGAAGTTATTTACTTCACAAGTTAGAAAACTATATGTGTCAATTTTTCACTAAATCTGTGAGTGTGCTACTGACTATAACATCTCTGGGGTTGGATTTAGGGGTCAGTCTTCATCTATTTTGTTTGCATGTTTCTTTTTTTTTTTTTTTTTTTTTGAGACAGAGTCTCGCTTTGTTGCCCAGGCTAGAGTGAGTGCCGTGGCGTCAGCCTAGCTCACAGCAACCTCAAACTCCTGGGCTCGAGTGATCCTTCTGCCTCAGCCTCCCGGGTAGCTGGGACTACAGGCATGCGCCACCATGCCCGGCTAATTTTTTATATATATATCAGTTGGCCAATTAATTTCTTTCTATTTATAGTAGAGACGGGGTCTCGCTCTTGCTCAGGCTGGTTTTGAACTCCTGACCTTGAGCAATCCGCCCGCCTCGGCCTCCCAAGAGCTAGGATTACAGGCGTGAGCCACAGCGCCCGGCCTTGTTTGCATATTTCTTAGCAAGCATGCATTAATTTGTAATTATAAAAAATAGTAAAGTTTAAAAAAAATAAATGTAGGGCCCTAAGGAAGAAGGATGGGTATACATTTTTAAAAAAGCTAATCCTAAATCTGAACTAATAACCTCATCTAATCTAGAACTAGTTTTTAACATAGCATATGTTCAATTTTGTTTTTGGACTTTAGCATCTGATTTGTACAGCTGGCATTAGAAAGTGAGATATTTTAAATTTGCGTAGATTTCTTTGGTTTCTCCTTCTCCTTATAGCCCATCGATTTGAGTGCATGCAACATTGCATTTCACATCTTCCAGCTGAATGAAGATGGCCCCAGTAGTGAGAATTTGGAGGAAGAGACAGAAAACATAATCGCAGCAAATCACTGGGTTCTGCCTTCAGGTGCGGGGTGTGGTGGCCCAGGGTGGGGCAGCTGAATGAGGCTGAGGTCAGAGGATCACACGCTCCTGGGGAATGCCAAGTCAGTCCACTGAGGGGGTTCTATCTGTCCATTTGTTCTGTAGGATTTTGGGATGTTTTATCTCTTATGAAGTGGAAAGTTTATCACAAAAGATGACCGTAGAGATTTCCAATGTAAGACCATATTGTCTTTTTGGACGGGTACAAGGTGGATACCAGCAGAGCCATCGGGGTCTGACAGGCAGAGTCCAGGGGTGAATTCGGTCATTGTGTGGGGAGAGTGGAGGATTTAGTGCTTGTGTTAAAGCACACATAACAACAAGATGAAAAAAAATTCTTTTTCTCTGTTTATCTATTAAAAATCTCATGTGACCAGCATTGATTTTGCACCTTCAGTTTAAAAAAAATCAAAATTTGAGGGAAAATTTGAAAAACTGACACCTCCCTGTAGTCAGGATCTTAGTCGACTGTATGTGAACAGCTAGTGCACGTGTGGCGCAGGCAGACTGAGTAGGAGTGTAACACCTACCTTCCTAAAATTAGGTCTTCGTTTCATTCTCTCACAGCTGAGTTCCACGGGCTTTGGGACAGCCTGGTGTATGACGTGCAAATCAAGTCACATGTAAGTTGCTATGCTCTTCCCCCAAAATGCCCTGTTATTTGAGGAAGCCTGAGCACCTCTGAGCTCCTCGGTTCAAACGGGCTTTGGGAACCCCTGCCCTGGGTGTCTGCCCACGAGCACTGCTCCAGAGTGGAGCTAGTCTCTGCCCCTCCCTGCGGGGAACAGAGAAGGGAGCAGACTGGGGATAGTTATCTCGAGTCCTGATCTTGCCCTGAACTCTGAGAAATGAGCAGGGCCACAGTCCTTCCATGCTGCAGGATGTGCTAGGAGACTGTCACTCAGCCATCCAAGGGTGCCCTCAGCATTGTGGCTGTTGTGAAATTTTGAGTAAACAGGCCATGTACTTGCCCACTGTTGTGGGGACTTACTCGTTACTTGATAAATCCCTTTGTAATTTTGTTGAATGTTGTCATTTTACATAAAGGTGGTCCTTTTCTTCTCCTCTCATATTCGTGATGCTTATGGGTCCTGTTGCGCTCTGACTCGAGAGCCTGTGGGTGCTCCCCTAGCATGGGGATGGTGGTCCCTCCAGAGCAGCCTTGCTCTTGCCCCTTCTCATTTGGGTTCAAGCTTCAGTGGCATGTGTATCAGAGCCTTTGCCTTGTGGGCACCTTTGTATGTTTAATCTGTTTTACTCTTTTCTCCCATCAGCTCCTTGATTACGTGATGACTACCTTACTGTTTTCAGACAAGAATGTCAACAGCAACCTCATCACCTGGAACCGGGTGGTGCTGCTACACGGTAACACACAGTCGCTGACTAGGCAGGACAGACTCGGGCAGTTGTAAAGTCAGCTTTCCTGGAGCCCTTGCCCCTCTGGGCTCCCGCAAGGAGTCACAGCTGTTTGTTTTCTGCAGGAGCCAGCTAGAATGCTAGAATATTCTCTGTGAAGCTGACCCGCTCACAACACTTGGGGCATTTGTTCATTGGGCCTTCATTCAGTAGCCCCCACTTATCTGTAGGGTACATTCCAACACATTCCCCAGACACCTGGAACCACAGATAGTCCCGACCCTATGTATATTCTTTCCCATATGGATTTTCTTTTTTTTTTTTTGAGACTGAGTCTTGCTTTGTTGCCCAGACTAGAGTGAGTGCCATGGCGTCAGCCTAGCTCATAGCAACCTCAAACTCCAGGGCTCAAGCGATCCTCCTGCCTCAGCCTCCTGAGTAGCTGGGACTACAGGCATGCGCCACCATGCTCAGCTAATTTTTTCTATATATATTAGTTGGCCAATTAATTTCTTTCTATTTATAGTAGAAACGGGGTCTCGCTCTTGCTCAGGCTGGTTTTGAACTCCTGACCTTGAGCAATCTGCCCACCTCGGCCTCCCAGAGTGCTAGGATTACAGGCGTGAGCCACCGTGACCGGCCTACCCCATATGGATTTTCTTGTGATAAAGTTAAATGTATAAATTAGGCACAGTTAGAGATGAACAACAATAGCTTATAATAATACAAACGATTATAATAATATGCTGTAATAACAGTTATTTAATACATATGAATTATTTCTGGAATTTTGTGTTTAATATTTTGAGGCTATGGGTGACCGCGGGTAACTGAAACCTTGGAAGGTGAAACTGAGGATAAGGGGGAGTGCTGTGTTACACAATATTCAAATAACTCTGCCTTGTTTCCCAACAGGGCATAACTCCTGAGGACAGGAACTGTCTCATGTTCTTTGTAGTATGCTCAGAGCTTCAATTTGTGTGCAGTAAACTAAAAAGGCCACACTTTAAAGAAATTCTTCTCAGAAATTCTTCCCGGTTCTTCTCAGAAGGAAAGAATGTGTTTTGGGGTTTTGTTGTTGTTTTGGTGTCACTGAGTGGAAAGGGGACAAAGGAATTACATGGACTCAAGGAACACCTTGTTTACAGCAGAGGAGACGTGGGAGCAGTGCTGGCCTCCGCACCAGCTGAGGTCATGGGGCTGTGCGTGGCCTCGGGACGACAGTGAGTGCCCGTGTCCTGGCAGCTCCCCAGCACACTGTCCCCACAGAGGCAGAACAGGCAGTCGGCCAGTTTTTGTGGTGAAGTACGGTATCTTCTGTTTTGAACCAGTTGTACATTTCCTCTTCAGTTATTAAAAACACTTGCAGAGAACTAGGGTTGAACGTGTCTCTGTTCTGCGAGGTACGTGCGCCCTTCCCTGCGGGTCACATAGGCTTCTGGGAGGCCCTGAGCTGGGCACTCAGGGCAGTAGCCGAGCAGGAGGAGCCCTTGCCTCAGCCACTCCTCGGGCTCACGTTAGCCACCTGCAGTGGCAGCAGGCAGTGCTCAGGCTGGGGAGGGCAGATGCCCCTCCTCTGCTTATCGGGAAGGCGCCTGACCTTTGAGAGGTGGCTTGGTCAGTGGCTGTCACAGAGCATGTGGGGAGGAGGACAAGTGTCTGAAGACGTGGACTAGAAAATGCAGTGCCTGCTCAGAGCGCTGCAGGGCAGTGGCCAGGAAGCAGTAAGTGACAGTGCCAGGCCAGGGGTGAAGCTAAGACTGGACAAACAAGTTGAGTCCAAATTAATAAAAAGAATATTACTGGTAATATTTTATTGCATTTAATCTGCTGGCAGACTTCTTTCCAAGTTAATGGGTATTTGTAGTAATAGCATGTTAATGGGGTTTAACTCTGCTCTTTATTTTATTACCTGTGGATAATGCAACTATTAGGAGATTTGTTACAGCACTGAGTTAAAAACTTATTTGCCTGGATCTTGTTATAGGTCCTCCCGGAACTGGAAAAACGTCCCTGTGTAAAGCGCTAGCTCAGAAATTGACCATCAGACTTTCGAGCAGGTAACATCTATCTGGAGATTGGAAAGATGAGAGCAGTGGCAATGGGACTGATAACACACAAAGCCACTTTTATTGTTCTGAACCCTCGTGCACAAATGGTTGTTTCCTCCCCTTCAGTGTAAGTCAGGTCATCGCTCTGTACTCTGCGTGGCCTCAGGGTGTGGCCTCAGTCTCGTTTTACCTGCCGGCTATGGTCTGTCTTGGCGAATTGCACTTTGGAAAGGCATGTCTTCTGCTGTTGGAGGGTGTGTTCTGTGAGGTCGGCCAGGCACGTGGCAGCCTTGCTGGCTTTCTGTCCCCTGCTGTCAGTGACTGAGAAACGCCAGTCTAGTTCTTTCAGGCTGTTAAAAATATCTGTATTTCATTTTGAACAGTTTCTATTGCTATATCTTCAATTCACTGATTTTCTGCAGTGTCTAATCTGTTCAATTCCTTCTAGTGGAATTTTTATTTCTGACAGTGTGTTTTTTTTCCTCTGAAGGTTCTGTTTGATTCTTTTCCCTCTCATTGTGTTCCTATTAAAGTCTTGAACACATTTAGAATAGCTGTTTTAACATTCGTGTCTACTAATTCCATCCTCATCATTTCTGAATCTGTTTCTATGGACTGGTTTTTCTTCTGGTTACGGGTCACATGTTTCTGCTTCTTGGCATGTCAAGTCCTTTTTGATTTAATACTGAACATTGTGATTTGAAGCATGTGGATTTCCTTGTCTTGCTGTAATGACTTGGACTTTGTTCTGACAGGCATTTTAGTTATTTGTGATTGGGTGATCCTTTTGAGCTTTGTTTTTAAGCTCTGTTAGGGAGGGGTTTAGGTTCCGTGTTGTCTTAGTACTAGAGTGTGGTCCTTCTGGGGTTTCCTATGCGCACCTGGGGTGATCAGTGAGGCCCCCACTTTTGGCTATGGCTTGAGCTCCACCCGACCTATGTGGGCTGGGAGCCCTCAGCTCACACATCTGCAGTCCCTCTCTACTGGCCTCGTGGAATTTCCCTGCTCATATACTCCTCTGTGCACGCCTTCTGGGGAGTCTCCTCCCCCGCTGGAATTCTGCTCTTCGGCCTGCAGCCGCCCCGACTCCCTGAGCTCTGCTCTCCGTCTCCTGCACTGGGGGGTGCCTTGCTCCGGTACCCCCCAGGGCTGTGGCTGGAAGGTGGTGGGAGGCCGAACGCCAGGGCGGTGGTGGGGTTCGCTCCTTTCCCTTCTCTCGGGGTCGTAGTCCTTCACTGTCTCTTGTCCAGCGTTCTTGCCAGATGCTATTCCATTTATTTTGTCTGGTTTTCTCATCATTTAAGGCAGAAAATAAATCTGATACCTGTTACTTCACACTAGAGGGAATCCTATGAGATTTAGTTTTGTGTATCTATTGTGTTTTCTTTTCAAAAATGTAAGTAATTTTCGTAGGAAAATTGCTCTATTTCAACCCTTCATGTGATGTTCAGCAACTTGGTGTTTGTTGTGACATATCAAAATGCATCTGTATTTTAAAGATCTCTGGGGTCAGTTTCCTGAAACGCTGGAAATATAATAATATTTTCCAGTACAAAAGATCTGGAAATACGTTTTGTGGCTTAGAAATGGTAAAGAGAATCCTTAGCAAGCCTTTCTTTCTCGTTCCATTAAATAGCCAGTGTTTTATGATTTATTTTGTTTAATATTCGACCTGGTTTATTTCACTGGACTGTCCCCCTTTCTCTTCTGTAAACAGTCTTAGTAATTAATGATCCTTTTCTCTTTGTTTAAATGGGAGGCCAGTGATGCTTTCTGAAAGTACTTGTTACTTTTCTGTCGACTTTTGAGACGGAAGAAACTGGAAAGAGGGCCTGGGAGTCAGCTCCTCTCTCGCCTCAGCTGCGTTTCCTGTTTGATTCGGTCTCACACTGAGTGTGTCCAGCTCTGTGGGTGACTCCTGCGTGGGCAGAGGAGTGCTGCTGCCGGTTCTGTGGCTCGGGGTCTGCTCTGGAAAACAAATCACGGTGCCCTCATTTAGGGTTTCATGGAAAGAGGAAAAAATGTTTGGCTCCTGCCAAAAACTCTTGATGCCTGTCTTTCGTTTTGTTTACTATCTTAGTGCTGGTACTACTTTTCAAATGTAGAAATATAAGTAGCTTAATCATGAGAGGGCTTTTACTTTTTAACTCAAATAGGCTATGGGAAAATTAATTTGGTACAGTCCAGAACTACTGATTGCATTGTGTTAAGTCTTTCATAATTGTGTAGCACACAGGCCTTGGTGCCTTTATTCTTTGTCAGTGATTGTCATGACCCGAAGATTCAGGAGTGGCTGCCACCGAGGACGCGACAGGACTGCTCAGTAATTTCTTAACCCCTTCTATCGTCTTAGGTACCGGTACGGCCAATTGATAGAAATAAACAGCCACAGCCTCTTTTCCAAGTGGTTTTCAGAAGTAAGTATTAAATGTTCCAGTCGTCTGGATTGCCAGCCATGTAGCTGAACACACGTCCTGCATGTCAGGCAGATGCTTCTCTCCGGGAGGGAAATGGGCAGAATGTTAAAGGAAGGACGGGCTACCTGTGGTCAGAGGAGGGTTCCAGAGCTAAGGCCTGCAGGACTCCCTCGGTCTGTCCCAGCCCCCGATGGGTGTCATGAGGTATCCGCTGGGCCTCAGGGTGCAGCCCGGCCTCCTCACATGGACGGCCCTGCTGCAGACGCCATTGGTGCCTGTGCGTTCTGTCACCCCTGTGAACTGCAGACCAGAGAAGGTGACGTCCCTCCCTCTGAGGGCTGTGCCCAGGCACTGGTGTCAGCACGTCCTCTAGCGAGATGAGGCAGGACGCCGCACATTGGAGGCCGGGAGTGCACTGCAGCCCATTTGTGCGCTTGCCCCTGTGCTCCATCTCGTCCCCAGTCAGCGGGGACAGATGGGTGAGCAGGGGCGCAGTCACCCACGCTCTGCTGCCCTGGGAAGAGCAGGTGCAGGCACAGGTCCCCGCAGGGAGGGAGCGTGTAGGCTGACCTCTGTGCTGACCTAGCTGTTCTCCATCCACGGTGTTTTCTGAGGGGCCGTCGGGTTGGTGGGGGCGTCCGGGGCGGAGGCCAGGCGGGGCCTGTGTGCTCACGGCAGTGGATGCTGAGAGGGTGTTTTGGTTCCAGAGTGGCAAGCTGGTGACTAAGATGTTCCAGAAGATCCAGGATTTGATTGATGATAAAGACGCTCTGGTGTTCGTGCTGATTGACGAGGTGGGCGTTTGCAGATGTTAAACCCATAACTATAGGAAATTCATGGCCAAGTTGCCTCTTGTGTCATGGGACGCGGCCTGCTCCTGCCCCTCTCTGCCCTTCCCTTGCTCTGCGGGCCGTACTCTGGCGCCACCGAGGCCTTCCCTGCACCTCAGGCCAGGCATGTGCACCCTTCATGCATGTGCTCACTCACTCAGTGGCCTAGTGCCTGCGGCTGCCCGTGAAGTGCCAGGCGCCCTTTTGACCCGATGCTCTGTCCCTGTCCCCACAGGTGGAGAGTCTCACGGCCGCCCGCAACGCCTGCAGGGCAGGAGCCGAGCCGTCAGATGCCATCCGCGTGGTCAATGCCGTCCTTACCCAGATCGATCAGATCAAAAGGTAACGCTCTGACGCACAGTCACTTCACGTGTTAAATCAGAAGCAGTGGAGCAGTTTGTTTCAGAGGATGTGTGACTGTTGTGCAACTCCAGGTCTCCCCCCTCCCAGGTCTCCTGGGTCAGCTGCAGGGAGGCTTGGGCCCGCCTGTCCTGTGCGTCCTTCACCCCTGAGGGCAGGCTTTGGAGAGGCGAAGGCCGCTCCTGGTCTGGTGTGTGCTCCTGCCGCAGCCCTCGTCCACAGAGTGCTTGCTTCCCCTCCGCAGCCTGCCGCCGGCGTCCCCCTCTGCCCAGGGGCGGGGGCCTGCGTGTGGCCTTCTCTCGGCACCGTGTTCCTGGGATGTATGCACACTTTTCCCCAGCGTCAGACACGCTCCCCACTTTCCGGGGTTCCCCGTTCCACCGGGGGGCCCCACCACATACCCACAAGCCAGAAATGGGGCCACCTTGCGCTCCTCTCCCCACCAGTTGTGAGGCTAAGAGGGCCCAGGAAGGAGCAGGAGCCGCAGCTGCCCGGTTCTCTCGCCCACGTCCCTGGGTTTGACTGCGCTAGAGCTCTGGGCGCAGGTCCTTCCGGCACTGGCTATCTGCCATGCGTCCCTGGGTTTGGCTGCCGCTTCTCCTCACCTTCCTGACAGGTAGCGCCTTCGCCCCCCCAGTCCCACCTGTGGGTGCCAGGGTGAGCAGCCTGTGTGCCCACCCGACCCCGGCACCCTGCTCTTTCTCCCGTGGAACCCCGTGCTCCCTGTCCCCGTTCACCCTGCTGACTTGCGGCGGGCTGCCCACCCTTGCCAGCATCGAGGTGGAGTGGTACCTGCAAGGTTCCCGGCCATGGAGCTGTCTGTTCCCCCCAGCCCAGGAAGGCAGCTCTGCTGGGCCCACTGCACAGCCCCCAGACGTGCTCCCAGGAGCACCTGTGCCTGCATGCTGGGCCGGAACACTGGCCAGTGGACTGGGCAGCCATGGCTATGTGGGGCGTAGAGGCTAGACGGGAAAACAGACAATGAACGTGAATGATCCAGCTCCACACGTGTCTGGGGTCGAGAGAGCTGTGGGATAAACAGTGTTGTGGCCATGCCCAGGCAGGGTTGGCGGTAGGTGGCAGAGCTGCGGGAGCTGGGCGCCCAGTCGGGACCCTGCACAAAAGTGAGATCTGCCGCAAGGCTGAAGGCAGTGAAGGAAGGAGTCACGTGGGGGTCTGGAGGAGCTTTCCGGAAGTCAGTGGAGTAGCGGGGCAAGGGCCCAGGAGGGTCTGTTTACTTCGTCATATTGCTGCCAGGAGAGTCGGGTATGGGCAGAGGTTAGGGGGTCACCAGACCGTGGCAAGGCCTGTGCTGGGCCGTGGCTCTGGTGTGGGACAGGGTGGGCTGAGCGGGGCTGGGTGCCCCTTTATGTCCTGTGAGCAGGCCTGGCTGCTGTCCCTCCTGCCACCCCCACCCCGGTACAGTGGGATAGAATTGAGCCACGCGTACACGTGGTGACCACAGTCCTTGCTTCTTGGCCACCACAGGCATTCCAATGTGGTGATTCTGACGACGTCCAACATCACTGAGAAGATCGACGTGGCTTTCGTGGACAGGGCCGACATCAAGCAGTACATCGGGCCACCCTCCGTGGCTGCCATCTTCAAAATCTACCTCTCGTGCCTGGAGGAGCTGATGAAGGTCAGATTCCTTGTGTTCTCGATTAACTGAGTGGCCTAGACCGAGCCACTCCTAGTATAGAGTAAGGCATTTCAGCACAGGCATCGGTCATCTTTTTAAACTGAAATGGCAGTTTTGTTATATCTGACAGGTAGAGCTAATGGTCCACATTATGGCCACTGATTCAATATTTGTGCTCTTTTGGCACAACGTGCTCGTCATTTTTCGTTATTTGGGGTGCTGACGTATAGGAAGTTGGTGAGTTGGGCGGATGACCTGCCCAGAGCTGGGCTGGGCATCCTCGCCTCAAAGAGGAAGAACGAGCTGACTCGGTTCGAGGGAGGTCACGCCAGCTGCAGGGGTTCGTGGGGCTGTCATCTGACTGAAGTGATCACATTTCCACTTCCCGTGTTCTGGTGGCAGTGGAGAGCGCTGTGTGAGGGAGCGCGGCTGAGACCCGTGTTGTCCCTGCGTTTCGTGTGCTGTGGAAGTGGACGGGTAGCAGGCAGAGACCGCACGGACTCCCGAGGGAGCAGCCGCACAGCCTTGAGCTTAGGGGCCTCCGTCAGTGACCCAGCAAACCGACAGACGGGGTTTAAACCGTGCTATTGTCGTGGACGAGTTGCCGACAGTGGGGGGTGAATTGCCCACCCACCCTGTCGCCACTGCCTGACACCACAGAGCGGTGGCCTCAGCGTCCTCAACAAGGGTGACACAGTCTCTCTTGGCTGGGGACAGCAGAGCTGGTCTCAGCCATGAACCCGCAGAGGTGGGCGCTGGGCCGGCGCCATTTGGGCCTGCGGCTGCTCTGTGGGGTAGGAGGAGCGGGGCTCTGTGGGCTGCGACTTGCGAGTGCCGGGATCTGGAGGGAGATCTGAGCGCAGCGCTGCCGCCAGGGAGCCCTGTGTGACGGCACGTCCCCCGAGAAAGCCGCTTATGTCAGAGGCCCCCACGTGCCCCTGACGCGGCCTCTAGCCCTCAAAGGGCACCGTCTCTGCGCTTGTGCTGGGATCTGAGCTTTAGATTCTAGGTTTTAGCTCAGAGGTATAGACTCGTTCTGGGAGCTGAGAGCATAGGGCAGGGGTCATTTCCCAGGCAGTTTATATAGAATTAGGACATTCAGGTGTTGTGGTGGATACGTGGTTTTGACAGATGTCGGCATGTGACTGGGACCCCTACTCCATCAGGGCAGTTGGCATTTTCACGTGTGCCACTGGACATCCAGTTTCGCTGGAGGGTGGAGAGGGATGGGGCCCAGGGGGGCTGCAGGGGAGCAGGGTCCCCAGGGAACCCGCAGAGCATGACTCAGCGAGTCAGAAGGGACGGTCAGAACACACCCAACAAAGACTGGGTTTCTTAATTTGACCCACAACCTTCACCAAACCTCCACAATGTGCAGAGAATGCCATTTTCTTTCTCCTTTCCTGGGTTCTCAGAACCGTTCATGTTAGAATTCCGTCACAGTAATGGTCACTGTGCCCACCTGACCTGACAGTTCAGCGAGGCCACGGGCAGAGAGTGTCTGACTCCAGACAGCTGATCTGCAGGTGAACTTGTGGGACCCCGGTCCTCAGTCAGCCGGACTCCGTGTCACACTGCTAAATAAGTCTCGTCTTAAACACAGACAGACCAGGCCCTTCCCTGAAAGTCAGGTGGAGTCGTGGCTCCAAGTCTCAGCTCTGCCCACCTGCATTTTGACGCAGTAACAGACTGGGTTTGGTACCTCTTGGTCCCTTCCAGCCCTGGCGTGCAGTCAGGCGACGTTTTGGCCAGAGCCACAGGAGAGGCCCAGTTGCTCTTGTGAGGCTGTGCGTCAGGGCTGGTCACGTCCGGTCTCTAAGACGTGACGCGGCTCACTCGGGTCTGCGAGGCTCCCTCTCGCTGACTGTGCTCGTGCTCTGTGCGGCACCCTGGTGACCGGGCCTCTGTCCCCCAGTGCCAGATCATATACCCGCGCCAGCAGCTGCTGACCCTCCGGGAGCTGGAGATGATCGGCTTCATCGAAAACAACGTGTCGAAGCTGAGCCTCCTCCTGAGTGACATCTCCAGGTGCAGATTGACGCACGTTTGTGCCGTAGTCACTGGGCAGTCCCAGGGAGGGTCTGGGTGTGAGCTCTCGACACGCCACGGAGGTGAGCGTGCGTGTGTGTGCGCGTGCGTCTGGGTGTGCATGTGAGCACAGCCGGCACGCGTGCTGAGGCCTGTCTTCCATAGCACGTTTCCGTGTTCTCAGAGTTGGCAGCAGGGAAAGGGCTTCTCTGTGGAGGGAGGGAGGCAGGGAGGGAGGGAGGCAGGGTGGAATGGAGCAGAGCCTCGAAAGGTGGAATTTGGGTACGACTGGAGCAAAATCGAGGGGTGCAGGAGCGACGTGCTCGGGCTGCACAGCAGATCGATTGCAGCGCAGAGACGGCTGGTACAGGAGGGGGAGGGGACGTAGCGGGGAGGGTCACAGATTTCTGGACAGAGTTTCAGATTTATTCTGAAGCTGAGCGGAAAGATTTGGATTTGTCGTTGAAGAGGTTCAGTTTGGTTGAGATGGGACAGAGAACAGTGCAGAGACTTCTGCAGTCACTGAAGCCGGGCACCGGCCTGGCTACTTGGGGACCCTGTGCTGGCTGACCATGTGCCCACCGCGTTGCACTCCACGTGTGACGCCCACGCCTGGTGTGCTCAGGCAGGTGCTGCAGCCCCTGAGCACGGGACGGCAGCCACAGAGCGGGCTCCCAGGTGGCGTCGGGGGTGCTACGGGGCAGGAGGACGCCCTACCCGGACCAGGAGCTGAGGCTGGAGAGGACAAGCCCACTGCAGGGGCTGCAGGGTGAAGGGACATGCAGGGAGGACAAGGCTAAGGGCCGCAAGGAGAGGTGGCGCCTCCGAGGCCCAGGTTGTGCCTGGGTTCTCAGGACGCCTCTGCCAGCCTCAGGCTAAGTCCGTGACAAGCGAGAAACGGAGTCCTGAGCCACGTGACTCTGAAACCAACCCCTGAACCGGTCGTCTCCACACAGGAAAAGCGAGGGCCTCAGCGGCCGGGTCCTGAGGAAGCTGCCCTTCCTGGCTCATGCACTGTATGTCCAGGTGAGTCCTTGTGCGCCCCCCACCCACCGTCCTCAGGGCTCCGCCCACTGGGAGTCCCACCTGGTACCACTGAGGCAGCCCTAAGGTGACGTTCTGGAGCAGCAGGGGCAGCTGACAGGAGCCTCTGAGCAGTAGGGCCAAGGTGGTGGCCGTGCTGCGTGTCTCTGCCCGCCCACTGGTGAACACGCCCACGTCTGCCTCCGTGGTGTTGACAGTTCCTGTCCCAGGCCCTCCCTGGCCCCTGCCAAAGGCTCGTGCCCTTTGGGTCTGGGCTCAGCTGACAGCGACCTGGCGCCACGGCTCTCCCCCCTGTGCTGGGCCCACCGCAGACCCGCCAGCCAGGAGGCCCCCTGCACCAGCAGCGGTCAGGGCGAGGCTCTGCGTGTCGGCAGTGCAGATGCTGACGTCGAGATGAGAAAACGCATGTCTAGACAGTCCCTTTCAGTTCAGAGTCCACCTTGCTTTGGTCAGTAGCAGAGTCTGTGCTGGGCTTGGCACTCGGCGCTGAGGACACAGCTGACCACGGACCATGAGCGGGAGCCTTCAGCTGCAGGGAGGTGGCAGCTCAGGGCACTGGGCCGTTTCACTTGTCTGGTTATCGGCCAGGGCGTCCTGGGGTCTGCAGAGCCCCAGGCGTAGGGCGGGCCCTTTGAGGGGCCTCCAGGGTCTGTTCCCGGCAGCTTCTCTTCTCGCCATGTTGGCGGCTGGCTCCGCTGCTCACCTGTGGGACACCGTATCGGGCAGCCCACCTCGTGTGCCTTTCTGCAGTAAAGAGTGCGTAGTGCCCTGGCGTGTGTGGCCCTGTACCCCCTGCCACGCCGTCGGTGCCATGCTGGGGTGTCGCTGCCAGCTGTCCCCAAGGGTGGGCGCCCCAGTGATGCCTGTGTGTCCCCCAGGCCCCCACCGTCACCATAGAGGGGTTCCTTCAGGCCCTGTCTCTGGCGGTGGACAAGCAGTTTGAAGAGAGACAGAAGCTGTCGGCTTACGTCTGATCCTGGGCTTCCCCGTCGTGGCTTTCTACGGGAGACTCACGCTAGCGAGGGACGCCGCCTTCCTCAGAGCAGCCGCCACCCGGGAAGGCCCCTCTGCAAAACGGGGCTCAGATCCGCATGCCAGAAGCCCAGGGGGCCGAGCTTTGTTAAAAGAAGTGTTATATTTACATTATTTTAAAATGCATATTAGAAGACAAATTATAACAAAGATGTCACTTTTACTGTTTTTGCAGGATAATTCAGATTTTGTTTCTCTTTGTGAAGAACTACCTAAGCGTGTTCATAACCATCCCTCCCCCAGTTGGACACAATGCTAACAAATTTTGTTTTTAAAAAAAGGAACATTAACATAGGTGTGATAGAAACAAAAGAGAAGGCGTCAGCCTAAATAAGCGGGTGATCGCGGCATGACAGGTGCGCACGTCACTCCCCGCAGAAGGCAGCGGGTGCTTCCTGGCGTCAGCTTGTTTGATTTGATGCAAAATGTTTTGGAGACTATTTAATGGGTAAGAAAACCCAATTCCTGTGTCACAGAAACTGAGAAAAAAAATTCTAGGCCAAGTGTTCTCCTGGAACAAATACCCAGACATGGTCCAATTTGTGGGGAGAGTGCAGGGCCCCCCCACGTCCGGGTGAGACTGCGCCGACGTCCCTGGCGACCCAGCGCCGTGTTTGTTCAGTGATGTTATTTGCATCTCAAAGGAGATTCGCGTTAACAGAATATAAAATAAATGGATCTGTAATTGACATGTTTCACAGAACATTAAGGTTTGGTCTCATGTAAGAATAAATTTCATATTAGTGCTTTGTACATGAATGAAGTCTACCTTTTGAAAAATGGGTTACCTTTTGTTATAGAACTTTTTAAACATTCACTTTTTTAAGGAATTTTCTATTTTGGTTCTAAATGTCTCTCCCAATTGTCTTGACTTTTATTAAAAAGCACCCACACGGTTACTTTCAGCCTGTTGTGTGCTTTGCGCCGTCCGCTGGGCCTTCGCTCCAGGGGCAGAACTGGGCCCTGCGCCAGCTGGGGAGCAGAGCCGGGCTCTCGGCCTGAGACCGCCTCGGGGTGCTGGTGGGGGCGCAGCCATGCCCAGTCGGGGAAAAGGTCTTTTCATTAAGTGAGTGTGACCCAACCTCACTGTCCAGGAGTGAGTTTGGATCCGCCGGGAAGGAGGCCCCTGTGCTCACAGGTGCTTGAGACGTTCCGGCGTTGGGCCAGCTGGGCTTGTGAGCAGGGCGGCGCTGGTCTGCAGGCGTGTGCTGACGCCCCATGGGAGACGGGAGTGTCTCCCGTGGGTGGTGACTGTGGATAGCGTGTGCAGAAGGTCCCTGCAGGGGTGGGGGGCGAGTGTGGGAGTGACCCCAGCTCTGGCACCACTCGCAGGCGGGCCCACCCCGTGCCTGGAGGACGGTGCACTGTTTGCTGTTGAGAGCTAGAGCACATCTTCCTCCCACAGGGTGCAGCTCAATTCCAGCAGGCAGCGTGGTCACGTGTGGATCTGAGACTTGTTTTCTGTTGGGGGGTCTGGCATAGCTTGTCCTCCAGGGCTGGTGTAGCCCACTTCCTCTGGGTGTCCCTGCTGGTTCTCTGCTCCCTGCCGCCCCTCCGCTCTGGCTGGCAGGACCGCGGGGCCCCGCCCTGTGCGGGTGCGGTGGGCATCTTTGGGTCCTGCCGCACCGGCCACCCCTTCCGCAGGCTCTGCATCCGGGGACTCAACCAACTTCATATTGAAGACATTTGGGGAAAAAACCAAAACAACAATTTAAAAAACCACAGTACAGTAATATTTACATGACATTCACACTGCACTGGGTGTCACAGGTACTCGAGAGGTGATCTGAGGTGTGTGGAAGAATTGTGCAAGTTACACACAGATACCGCGCCTCTTAAGTCAGCCTGGAGTGTCTGTGCACTCCGGTGCACACGGGGTCCATCGCTGGCCTGGATTTTGTCACGGTCTGGACCCTCAGAGGCTCCTCCTCCATGTGGCTCCCACTCTGGCACTGCGCACCCGGAATTCCAGCAACCTTGTCCTTGCTGAACTCTGACCTCTGCCTCCTCTCCAGAGAGCCCTCCGGGCTGTGCTCTTCCCCTCGGTGCCAGGCCACAGGTGACCCCCAGGCCGTGCGACTGCAGGACTCAGTCCCGGCCCTGTTGCCACAGCCGTGCCCACAGCAGCCTCCCTGGAGGGCCCTGATCCTGTGTCGTGGCGGGAGGTGTCTGGACCCCGACGTTCTGCAGAGCGAGGGCCCCGTTGTCAGCCCTTTACCGAGTGTTCCCGCCCGTGCTCCCTCCACCGCACCTTTCCACAATCATGGGACGGGGTCCGGGGCCCCAGGGCTCCTTGCTTCCTCCTTTGTGTCTTGGGGTGGAGGGGGACGCCATCGTACCCCTCACATTGGAGGGACCACCCACGGTCCTGGGGAACGGAAGCCTTGGCAGCCGCCATGGCAAGACGTCCAGGTGACTCCAAAATGGAGCCTGAGTCCACGCGGTGTTTTGGAACACAGCCATGCTCGTCTTCAGTGGTGGCCTTTTGTGCAAGTGCAGCTGCACCCGTGTTGGGACAGCTCGTGGCTCCCAGGCCTGACACAGTCTACGATCTGGCTATTTAGGGAAAAGTCGCCACAGCCAGGCCACCCCAGTCCCCAGAAGTGAGAGGGCTGCACCGAGAGGGTGTGAAGAACGGGGGAAGAGCCCTCACCCCCTGCACGCCTGCGTCTTGGGCCCTCCCAGGGCTCCGTGTAGGCTGCGTCCTGCAGCCTCTCCGTGACCTGGGTGGGTGGCCGGGCTGGTGCCTCCCACCCCTGGGCCTCTGGCCAGGCAGCACGGCCTCTGGCCACTCCCTGAGGGCCGGTGGGACCAGGGGACCCGCCCCAGTCCCCATAGCTCGGGCTGCACACCACCCTCCTGGCCTACAGCTGCGCACACCACCTGGGTGGGCTCGCCTCTCCCAGGCCTGCTCTGCCCAGCTTGCGTCTCGTGGAGGGATTAGCCGTGGGGGCCAGGGACGCCCTGCTCCTCCCAGCCTCACCTGCCAGGCCCTGTGTGCTGTCAGGACCGCTGACATCCAGGGCAGCTGCGTCCGCGCTGTGCAGGGGAACAGGGGCTGCTGCCCCAGGACTGGGTGAGAGGCTCTGGACCATGGCCCGGCAGGGGTCCTGGGCCCGGTCCTGGGTCGGCCCCACTGCAGAGGGGACAGAAGACCCCGGGAGCTGGTTCCAGCAGAGGGGATCGCTTCCACGTGCAAGCCAGTTCCCTCTACCAAGAAGTTTCCTGCAAGTGCCCTCATCAGTGGTGGATATCGGTGACGACAAAGACACCTGGGCCAGCATCGCAGCTAACGCTGCAACGGCGAGGACGCCTGTTCTTCCAGGGCGCGGCCTCGTCTCTGCGGCCCTTGGCCTCCCACTGCAGTCAGGCCAGCCTGCACCCTCCCCCCTGCGGGACACTGATCACAAGGCTCCCTGGCCTGCACAGTGGCATCTGCGCCTCTCCCACTGTCCTCTGTGGTCACTGGTTGGGGTCATGTCCTCCAGTGCCGGGGACAGCTGCCAAGGGCACGTGGCCTCGTGATGTCCAGGCAATTGTGGGAGGAGCCGCATGGCTGCCCACGATGGGGGGGCAAAGCTGCACTCGGGCCACCAAGGCCCTCCTGGCCCGAGTCGGTACCCGCACCACCACGGTGGGCAGGACAGTGACACTGGCCAAAGAGCAGATGGGGTGGACGAGGAGGTGCCCACACCCCCCGGGCATGGAGGTGGGGTCTGAGAGCTGCAGAGTCAGCAGGTGGGGGGACACTGCATGCTCCAGGTTTGGGAGTGCCTCGTACCCAGACAGGAGGAGAAGGGCCACCAGGAAGGAGTCTGCACACAGCACAGATCTGAGCCGTGAGCTCCTCGGGAAGTGCGTCTGGCGGTTCTGCCCTCCGGCCACTGGGGGGCGGCACCACCCCGCGGGACGGGACAGGCAGGCGCCCGGCAAGGCCCAGGCAGGGAGGGTGGTCAGTGGAGGCCCCCCCTCGTGTCCCTGCTCCCCACGTCTATGTGTGTCCCAGTGCACACATGTGCATGCACGTGTTTGGACACGCATGTGTATCTGCAGGGGAGCCGGAGGCCATGGGGACACAGGTGGGCTGCAGTGTGAGGAAGGGTTTGCAGCTGCCTGGGCCCCCAGGCAGGGCACTTGGCACCCGGGCACCAGCGTCACCCAGTTCATGGGTGGCCCTGCCATGGGTCGGTGGGAACAGGAGCTTGGGGGAGCACAGGAGAGGCCGGGATGGTCCTCGGCCACCTCCTGCAGGTGACTGCAGGCAGCTGGGAGACGGGCACCCAGCGTCCGACCCTCCTGGGGTGCGGGCCCCACGCTGCAGCTGCGGCCAGTGTGGATCAGGGGGGCCACCCTGCCCATGAAGGGCCGTGGCTGGCAGCACTCTGGGCCCGTGACCGTCTGTGAGGGGCTTGGGTGCAGCTGGGACGTCCCAGCTCCCGGAGGCCCACGTGTCCTGCCTGGGCTGCAGGGCGAGGACACATCCCCAGGAGGCTCTGTAGATGGAGGGCAGAGTGGGGGGCAGGGAGAGCCCTGCCAGGCCTGATGAAAGACCGTTCATCCTCCCACGTGTGGTCACACAGGGATGAGGGGCTCTGGCCACGTGGCCACACCCGGCACAGGCATGAGGGCTGGGGTCAGTGGGGGTCGCTGTCTGGCCAAGCCTGAGGGAGCCCGTGGCTGCTGCGATTCCAAGGGGCCAGGCCAGCAAGTCAGAGACAGGCAGGACCCGCAGCCCCCGGAGCCCAGAAGAGCCGCAGCCCTGCCCGCCCGTGGGCGGGAGGGCAGTGCTAAGGCCTCCATGGCCTCCCCTGTGCGCTGGCTCTCAGCCCTCCAGCGACCCGACACTGGGGCCACTCGATGGCCAGCGTGGAGTCCCAGTTGCACGCCCGGTGCTGGAAGGTCCCCAATCAGCCGCTCTCAGGCCCTGGAAACTCCTGCGCTGGGGCCTGGCTGAGCAACTCATCCCCCGCCGCCCAGCCCGGCAGGCCCAGCCTCCTGAAGCTCCGTCTCCTGCCTGCTCCGTGGGGCCCGGCACGTCCCCTGCTGTGCTGTGCTGGGACCCAGCCCTAGTTCCTGGGGCACCACTGCAGGCCCAGGCAGTTTGGAGGAGTCTGGGGGGCCATCTTGGGGCTGTCCGTTCAGACGTCCTGCCCCTTCCCCACAGGGCCACGGCTGACCAGGGCCACCCCAACCACGGGGTCCTCTGCACGCCTGCTTTCCGGCTGCACCGGACGCAGCGTCTGTGGCAGAGACTCTCCAGCCCCCACACTGGGCATGCTTGCATTGGGGGGGGGGGCGGTGAGGAATGTCTCTAGTGCAAGGCATTTGGCGAGCGTTAGGGTTAGGGAGACTGCCGCCTCCCCCGGCGCAGAAGTCGGAGGGAGCCCAGAGGATGCGGGGACTGGCGATCTGCAGACACTGTGTGGCTGGGCAGTGGTTTGGGGACGCCCTCACACCTCTCTCAACACAGGTAGGACAGAGCCCTCGCTGTGGAGCCAACCCACAGGCGTCCCTGCCTTTGGAGCAGGGTGGCAGGTGCTGTCCCAGGGCAGCTGCGCCGGGTGCCGTTCGGCTCTGGGCAGTTGGGCACCCGCTGGCGGAGTGTCGCCAGGCAGAGGAGGATGTCACCCAGACTCCCAGGCAGCCCGCGCCTCTGCAAAGGTGCAAACCTGAAGGTGCCGGGCCCACAGCTGTCACGGCAACAGCTGCTGCCCTCTTCAGGTCACCAGCGCCCCTCTCCGTCCCTCAGGGCGTAGCTTTTTAGGGACAGGACAACCCCCGGAGGAGTCCTCATGGACTGGCCACCCAGTGGACACGTGGGACCTGCCTCCTTCTGAACCCCAGGGTTCCCCAGACAGGAGACGTGGGGGCGCTCACACGGCCCCTCGCCCCGCTGGGAGGTGGCCACGCACACGCGGAAGGCCTCACGGGCCGCGCACACTTGCACGGCTGCCTGGCGCTCAGCTCCTGCCTTCCTACAGCCTTCAAGTCCCCGTAAAGCAGGGGCGGGGGCAGATGTTGAAAATGTCGTAGCACAGAAGTGTGCAGTGTGACAGTGGCAGACATGCCGCTTGGCGTGGGGACCCCGTGAGCTGCACCAGGGCGAAGCGGCGCAGCCGAACTGCCAGCGAGAGGCACTCACGGCAAGAGGCCCTGTCGGAATCACTCTCAGCATCTTCAGCGTTACCCTCTCTGTTCAGTCTAACTTCTTTGTCTCTCGAGTTATCTGCAACGGGAAACCTCCTGTGTCGTTCGAGTGGTAATTTGTGACTGGAAACAATTTTCTGTCACCCGAGTTTCCGCTTACGACTGATGCCTTCGTCATCACGTGAAACTGGAATCTGTCCCTCCCGATGGCCTCGGCGATCGTTTATTTATGACTAAAACATTCTTTCTCTACCTCCTTAATTATCATTTATGGCTGGAAACCTTTTTCTATTACCTGAGTTCTTGTGTATGACAGAAAACTTTATATACTTATATTTTGTATATATGCGTTTTATAAATAATTTTATATAAAATTCATCATCTGAATTACGATTTGTGACTGAAACCTTTGCTTTTCTGTCACCTATCACTCATGACTGGTAACTTTCTTTATCAATCACCTGAGTTTTTATTCATGACTGAAAACCTTTTTCAGTCACCTGAGTTACTACGTCTGACTGGAAGCTTTGTTGTTCTATCACCTGAGCTATTGCTGTGGCCGAAAACCTTGCGCCTCCCTGAACTATCGCTACCGACTGGAAACCATTTGCCCTCTCAGCTGAGAGATCATTATTCCGAGACCTTCTTCCTCAGTCACTGAGTTATCATTTACTCACTGAAAACCTTTCGCTGTCTATCACCTAGTTACAATTTACAACTAAACCTTCCATTCTCCACACCTGAGTTATCACTTATGACTGAATACTTCTTTCTCAGTTACCTTAATTATCATTTAACACTTTCTCTGTCACCTGAGTTATGATTTATGACAGGAAACTCTACTTTTCTGTCACTTGAGCTGTCATTCGTTACTGGAAACCTCTTTTTCTCCACCATCTGAGTTATCTTTTACCATCCTTCTCTGTCACCTGGGTTATCATTATATATTGTGATGCCCTCTTTTTCTGTCAAGGGAATTATCTTTTGTGATGTGAAACATTCTTTCTCTATCACCTGAGTTATTTTTTATGATAAATAAATTTCTTTCTCTGATAACTGGGTTATCTTTTATGACAGGAAACCTTTTTTTCTCTGTCACTTGCATTATGATTTATGACTGGAACTTATATCTCAATCACCCGAGGTATTTATGACCGGAAACCTTCAATCTCTGTGATATCAGTTATCATTTGTTGCCAAAAACCATTTTTCTCTAGCACCTGAATTACCATTTATGACTAAAACCATTTTATGTCTATCACTAGAGTTATCATTAATTACTGGAGTCATTCTTTCTCACTTGAGTTATTTTTTTACTAAAACCTTTCTTTCTCAAGTATCTAAGTTATCATTCATGACTGAAAACATTTGTCTACCAGCTAGCATTTGTGACTAGAAACCTTCTTTCTATCACCCAAATTATCATTTATAAATGGAAGCCTTTCTTTCTCTTCCTCATGACTTATCATTTATGACTGGAAAACTTTATCTCCTGA